GATCTCTGTGACATTGTTTCGGGCGAAGTACTCATCACAGGTGGCATTGAGAAAGCGAGAGGAACAGAAAAGGCCCCAGAGCCGTGTGGTCACCGTCTCATTTCCTTCCCAAGCCAGCTTGGCACAGACATCAAAGCCATGGCGAGACAGTGTGCGGTTCCCCAGGAGGCAGATCCTAGGGAGAGAAACAAGGGAGGAAGATGGGGAGCGACATAACCTTGCTCCAGCTTTACAATAGAGCCGCCGGGGAAGCTCTAAAAAAACTCAGATGCCAGGGCCCCATATCCAGAGATTCTGATTTAATTAGGATGGAGCCCAGATTGGCGTCTTCCAAAGCTCCCCCAAGCGATTCTAATACGCGGCCACAACCCAGTACCACCGCATTAGAGAAATGATGTTTCAGCACCGTGGACAGCAGTCTACGGGTGTGACTCCTGGGCAGTGGGACATAGGGGAATTTGTCCTAGAAAGAGAGGCAGGACCACATTCTCTTCTGTGTCCTTTCTTATGCTAGAGAAGGTGTTTAACACTAAGTAGCTGTCCCACTCCAGGAGGTTGTCTCCCCACCCCGGAATGTTTTCCTAACAGAGTGTTCATCCCTTTAGAAATTGTTCCAGTTGGCTCTTCTTCAGTCCACCCCACCAGCAAGCAGTTGACCCTCACAAAGGAAATGTGCCCACTGCCAGAAATGTCATCCTACCCTACAGAGATTGTCCCCAAACCAGGATTTTCCCTCCCAGGGGAGGTTGCTCTGAATCCAAAACCACTCTGACTCTGGAGATGGGGAGAGAGACGTTGGCAAAGACTGGTGTGCAGACCTGAAACTGAGCCACAGAGGAGGAGGACAATGCCTTAGACTCAGAGCAGCAGTACTTACGGGAAGTTGGGCGGATCGAAGGCAGATTTGATAACCCCAGCATAGATGGCCAGGATGGAGAGGATGACACAACCCAGGAAGACAAGGGCAAACTTGTTGACGTACTTGACACCCACGAACACCACTGTGGCCATGCAGGTGAGCACACAGGTGCCATACACACGCATATTGTTCAACATGGCTGCTGCCTCCCCGCTAGCATCTTCTGCCTTAAAAATGGCCATAGCTGGGAAGAGGTAAGCCTGTGGAAAAGGGGCGAGGAGGTCAGGCAAGTAACCTAGTAAGCACTAACTGAGAATCACCTCAAGGAAATAACCAGAAGTTATTTAGAGAAAAGATACTGGTCACAGGAAATTTACAGTAGTGCAAGACTAGAAGTGACATCCTATGACAGGGGAATGGTGAAGGTCATGCTCTCTCCTGCAAGGACTATTATACAGTCATTAAAAAATACATTACAAAGATGTAGGGAGCAATTTTTAATTTCTATTATTTTGATTACTGAGTATAATTTTAATAATTATTTAGCGTTTTTGTTATTTCTAATAAAAAGGCAGAAATAAATTAGATAATCTTTAGAGAAATGGGCAAATAAATCATGATATTTCCATATAGACTATGGAGCTTTTGAAAAAGACAAATTTACATGAACTGACTCAAAAAGCTATCCATGTTATATTAGGTAAAAACAATCAAGTTTTTTTTTAAAATGTGTCTTATGATCTCATTTTTATAAATATATGTGTGTGCTATATGTTAACATATATACATGTATGCATAATGATGTCTGTGTGTGTAGACATGTCAAAATGTTAACAGTAGTTTTCCCTGAATGGTGAAAATGTAGATAATTTTTATTCTTTTTGCACATTTGTATTTTCTCTTCTAAATATTAATATGTTTATATTCTTACAAAAGGTATTTTCATTTATAAATTATATTTACAAAGAGAGCGTTGAGTTATGTGGGGTGATCTATAGTTATAATTTACAAAGACAGAATACAATATCATATACAAAAACAAAAACTAGAAAGAAATACACCAAAATGTTACTGATTTTCTTCTGGCGATTGTTATTTCCTTTTTTACACTCTTCAATATTTTTCCAATTTATGCAATGGGCAGAATTGCTTTTATAATAATTTTAAAATTATTTAGCTTTGTAAAAGTCATAAAGGTCTAATTCGATTCTCTCATAATTTGGCTCCTCAGATCTTTTTTTTCCTTTCCTCGGGTCTTTTATTCCCCGACCATTCTTCCTGTCCCTGTACTTCTCCATTCTGTTCCAAAACCAGAAGCTGCAACACCTTTCAGCCCTAGTTCTCCAACGCAGGATGATAGAGTGGACAAGCACTGGCTTTGGGGTCAGAAAGACACAAATTCACACTCCCTGCACATCCTCATGTCCCTTCCTTGCTTTCCGCATCTGGAAAATGGGGACATCTTTTAACTCATGGGAGAGTCAGGAATAAAATAAAATAATACATTGCAGGCCATGGGCCTGGATAGAGCAGAGGTTTGGGAAATGTCAGCCCCACTTTCTATATACCATAGAACCCTTTTCAGCTCCCACCTCCTCCTGGAGGGGCAGGAAGATCGGAGACCAAAGTCAGTAGCCATTTCCTTCAAACACTGCCTGGCAACCTGACTCCTCATCAGTCACTACTCCTGACAGATCTCTTTACTCAGCTCCCTCATATCCTTCTTCTCTTTTGCAATCCACTAGCCATCAGCCCTTGACAATTAACATTTATAAAGTACTTCGCACAGTCCTTGGCACATGGTCAGCAATCACAGAATGGTAGCTGTCATGTGACATTGCTATTATTATTTCTACCATGATTTTACTCTTAATCAAGCCGCCTCTGCCATTTGGTAGCTGAGTGACCTTGAGCAAGTCATTTCACCTCTCCGAGCTTCTCATTTGTAAAATGGGCATAATAATACTTAAACCTCATGAGGATTCAAGATAATGACTGTAAAGCACTTGGAACTCCGCTGAGAGCACAGTGGGTGCCTGATAAACGGCAGCTGTTCATGTTACATAATTATTGCATCTTGTCTCCCCAACTAGACTGTGAACTCTTTAAAGGCACAACTACATCTGATTTCCCTTTGGCCTTACTGAGTGGCTTATCGGAGGTGTCCAGGGAGCACTAATTAACTGTCTGACAGCCTGGGACCCCACACCTCCTCCTTGGCCCCTCTCACCAGCAGGATTTCGATGGTGCCCAGGATGTACATGGCCCCAGCAAAGGTAGTGCCCAGATAGAAGCAGAGGCCCACGGCGCCCCCAAACTCTGGGCCCAGAGACCTGGAAATCATGTAGTAGGAGCCGCCAGCTGCAGAAAGAACCTAGTATCAGCAAGAGGTTCGAGGGGCACTGGGCTGCCGTTAAGGTTAAGGGGGTTCAGGGACAGAAGCAGGAAGTGGGGCGCTCTGGGCCTCACAAGCCTTACAGGCTGCAGCTCTAGGACTGGTGGAAGACCCAGCTAGCCACTCGAAGTGGATTTTGCAGCACTAAGTACCATGTTGCTAATCACCCCTCTGCGGAGGTCATGACTCAGAAAATAGGATGATGGAGAGAAGGGTCTCAGACAAAGGGAGTTCTTGCATTGCTCTGCCCAACACCATCAACTGCCTCCTTCGCCTCCCCTTCATACGGCTGCCCCATCTACCCCACAAACATCAGAGCCTATCCCCCAGGTCTGAAAGAGTGCCTCTCTTGGGTCCTGATGGCCCCCAAAGCCCGGGGCACTGTCCCTCCTTCCAACTATTCAGGCTCCACTCCCAACCATTTTGGCCCCACCCCCTCCAAGAAGTCCCAGTCACATACCAGGTACGACACCATTGGTTGCAATTGCACTCATGGAGATGGCCGTGAGCATCGTCTGTGAGGAAAGAGATCATCAGAGTGGCAGCTGGGGTGGGGGCCGCAGTGACCTGGGTGGGGGCCAAACCTTATGCCCCATAAACATCCACCAAACCCGCAAGTCCTTTTCCACTGAGCCTCTCCCTGGTCCTGTTCCAATTTCTACTCCTGCCAAGTCCTTCTTGTCAAGAAAAGCTCTTATTCACCGTTTACATGGACAAAGCACAAGGTATAGCATCAGAGAGCTCTGGAAACCCAGCCTGGCCTCTGACCAGCTGTCTGGGCTGAGATAAGTCACTTTACTCTCTAAGCCTCAGTTTCTTCATCTACAAAATAGGATAATAGCTTCCAAAATGGCTATCGCACACACAGAAGTGGCTCAAGGGTCATGTGTGAAGAAACATAAATGTAACAAGTAGATGTCTAGTGAATATTTGATTTTTCTTAAAGATAAGAAGAATTCTATTACAAAGTTGTTTGTGACACATAAGCCCATTTTTTGTGAGTCTGGACCTACCTAAATATTAACTATTATGGCATTACAGGTGAATTTTATTTCTTTCTGTACATCTACCCTTTTCATCAATGAATCTTATAATTACTTGTGTAATTACACACACACACACACACACACACACACACACACATGCATCCAGTTAAAACCTGGTTAACAGCCATCAGGGACCAGCCTGTGTGATGCAGGAAGGACCAGTCAGACCTAATTTACTCTCAAAGATCATACACAGTAGTTCCTATAAAAAGCTCAGGTCTCATGCTTCCCTCCTCCCTCCTCCCACCCCCAGGTCCCTGCTCAGCCCAACTGTCAGGGGGTAAGAGAGGGGAGGGTGTCACTCACACAGGAGCAGCAGATGAAGACCATGCAGAAGGACTCCATGATGCCTGCAATGCCCACTACCCAAGTGAGTCGCAGGAAGAGAATGACACCAAAGATATTCTGCAGGCACGGTAGGTACACGCCCATGAAGGTGCCCATGCGTGGGGCCTGCCAGGGAGGCCAGCATCAGTTTCCATAGCCCCTAATCACCACCAATTCCCTAGGCCCTCTATCCCGCACTTCCTTATTCTCTCCATCCCCATTCTCCATCCCTCTTCCCTCTGATTCTTATCTCCCTTCCCTCCTCCCCTCCTGTTCCCATCTCTCAGCCTTCATGTGTCCATCACCTCTCCTTCAAACCAACCCCTCCCTCCTCCCTTCCACCTCTATCCCTCATCTTCCATCCCTTCCCCTCCCTCAGTCCCCAACTCCTACCCCTCTACCTCCATCCTTCATCCTTTCATCTGAATCCATTTTTCTTCCCCCATCTTTTCTCCCCTCCATTCTGCCTTCCTCTCTCATCCCTTCTTCCCCAAGGCCTTCACCTGCACTGGCTTCTTTTTTCCACCCTCATTGTTTTCTGCCTCTTCATGCTCCCTACTTCCCTGGGGCAGGTTGGTGTAGTTGGCCAGGCCACTGAGCAGGGAGGATACCATGGGGCTGGTGTCCATCTCCTCCTGTGGAGGGAGGGCAGCATTGTTAGGACACTGGGGCCTAGAGGAAGGGGATAGGGAGCTGGATGGTAGGAGGCCGGGAGATATGTGGACAAGGAAGGCAAACCATTGAGGTTGGAATGAGATGGGGAACAAGGAGAACAGAGAAAGAGGATAGTAGAAGGATGAGAGAGGGCAGCAGGGGTGAAGGAGAAGGAGAGATGTGGGAGGCTCAAGGCCCTGACAGAGAGATGGAGAGGAGGGCACTGTTCCCTAGGGAAGGAAGGAGTGCCTGATGAATGGGGAGATGAACTGTGCGCGGGTCCAACAGCCCTATCAACCCACCTCAAACAGGGCCATGTTCTTGCCATCGTACTCCTTTCCCTTCTCTGTGTCGGTGCTGTTGATGAAGGGGCTGCTCTCCTTCGGGTTGCCATCACCTGAGAAGGCAGAGGAGTCAGGGGCCTGGTACCAACTGGTTGTCATCCATCCGCTTGGGCCAGTACAGCTGTGTGGCCACTTTAACTCTCTGATTCTTGGTTTGCACATTGGAAAAAGGGAACTAATACTACCTCGCCTGCAGAATTTTAGTTGACAGCATATATTAAGAGCCTTGTGTACTCCTTGGAATGTACTGGGTATTTAATGAATGTGTGAGTGTGTCCTTGCTCTTGGGGGTCCTACTTTACCAGGGCACCCTAGACTCTCCAGGGTCCCCTCTTTGACCATAACTGGGCCCATCCTGTCATTTTATGTTGGAAGCATGCTTTTTCCTGGGGTCGGGGGAGGCAGAGAATACTACAGCCTGAGGCTCCAAGGATACTCCACTTTTTAGAAAAGTGACCCCCTTTGGCACCTCCTATGCCCTTTATTCATCTTCAGTAAACATGTTATTTGCTGGATGTCTGCCATGTGCCAATATGGGCACAGGAGGGAGGTGGAGCAGAACACAAAATAAGATCCATCCCTGCCCTCAGGGATCACAAGGGCAAGGCAAGTGAACCAGTTACCAGGAACTTCTGACCCAGAGTGGTAAGTTCTGTGATAGGAGATGAAGAAGGGACTGTAGGAACACAAGAGAGGCATTCATCCTAGCCTGGGAGGTCACGGAGGGCTTCCCAGAGGAAGTGACATGTCAGTTGAGAACTGAAAGATGAGTAAGAGCTAGACTGGGAAGGAAGTGGGTGTTCCAGGCAGATAGAACAGCATGTTAGGTGGCCCAGAGGTGAGAGTGAACAGAGTGGGCTAGAGGAGCTGAAAGAAGTTTGATCTGGCTGGGGTCTAAGGGAGGTGTGTGAGAGTGGGGAGACCTGAAGGATGAGGAGTGGCATGTGAAAAGATGGGTCTGGAGATGGTAAGTGTGGGCTGGGTCCTTACACTATTAGGCCATGTTAAAGATTTGGGACCTCATCCAGACGGCGATGGGAAGTCATTGAAGAGTTTCAGGCAAAGAAGTGCCATGAACAGACTTGTGTTTTACAGCAATCACTCTGGCCTTTAGATGAAGAATATAAAAGCTAGTTAGGGACTTTCAGTAATCCAGGCAAAAGCTGATGATGACCTAGATGAGAGCAATGCAGGACAATGGACAGATTCAGGAATTATTGGCACATATTTCTATGCCAGATGTTTGGAGATGGAGAAAAGAGGACTCTAGAATAATGCCTTGGGCTTCTAGCATGGATAAATGGGTGGGTCATGGTGTTATTTAATAAATGTAAAATGAGGAGATTGGGGGGTGGGGAAGAAGCTGAATTTGACTGAGAGTGAAGCACTGTAAGACACTCAAATGAATAAGTCCAGAAGCCACTTGAATATATGGATCAGTCTGAGACCTAGGAGAGAGGCTGGGCGGGAGAAAAAGATGGGGGTAACCCATAAAAAGATGTGTAGGAAGTGTGTGAAACCGTGCATCTGAAACCGTGCAGAAGTCTCTTGGGCATCAAGGAGAGGGTTCTTTCAAAGAATTATAAGGGAACCCCATAGGAACATTCCCTTAGCTCCAGCCATCACCCTTGCTCAGTGCCAGGGCTGAGTCTCAGTAGTAGATATCTTTCTAGACTCTACAGAAACTCTTCAGTGACAAAATCCCAAGTATTCTGAATTCCCTATCCTCTCACCTGTCACCTGAAATCAATCAATAGCTACTGCACACTATCTCTCACTCTCTACATCTGTCTGAATCCTCCCCATCCTTCTCCCTACCTCTTGGAAACTTGCCTTAGTCTTCCAGCCAGGGTCCATCCCCAGACATGACTTTTTATTAATCCAATCTCATCCTGACTCTAAGTTGTAAAAGGAGGAAGAACTGGTGCCTCAACTGCTCAAAAGAATCCACCACCCACTGACTCCTGCCACCATCTCCACCTCATCCATCAAGCCAGTTACTCCTGGTCTCCAAACAGGGGGCCACCATTCATTCTTTCTTCTCTTCACATATGAAAGTTCCTGGGAATAACAGACCCATCCTCCCGGTGGAAGCCCAGCTAGTAATTGGTGCTCAGGAAAAGTCTTTGTAAATAAATACCCCCAGGCTTCCTTCCTGACCCCAGTGTCTTAGAAGAGACATTGTCTGGAGCCAGAGAACAGGAGAAATAAAAGTGAGGTGGGTTCCTTCTTCTTTTAAAATGCTAACAAGATGCCTCAAGTTCTCATCTCACTATGGTAAGAACTACTGGGGTTGAATGACGATAAAATGAGAACGAATTTCTTAATGGTTAAAGAAAAAGGCTGGAGTCGATTTAGATTCCAGTCCCAGTTTCACCAGCTGGGTTGACAGGCTGGGCAAGTTACTTAAACTCTAAACCTCAGTTTCTTCCTTTGCAAAGGGATAATAATCATGCTTAATTGATAGGATGGGCATGAAGCGAAATAATGCCTATTGGGTATGACTCGCACATAGTGTAGCTAGTGCTGCTACTATTACAATTATTATTAATATGCATGGTGCCCCACCCAGCCCAGACTCCCTATCTCATACCCCTCCCCCAGCTGCAAGATTTAAGGACCCTGTCTTTTGTGGGCCCACCTGGACTGGGCCCTTCTCCCCAGGGATTCCGCTCTCGGGCCCAGACAACCATATGAAAGCCTCTCTTCTCTGCCTTTCAGGTCTCTTCCCAAGCCTCTCCTCCTTCATGGGGCCCGGGACGAGTGCGGGGCAGGAAGGGGGCGTCCTGGCTGGAGACCCCGCAACTAGGTAGCCCCATGCCTGTCTCCAAGGCGACCGCGCAGGCAGAGAGCGCCGCGCTGAGCCGGCCACGCGCCCGCAGGCGCTTATGTAACGCGGCGCGCAGCGCAGAGCCAGACTCTGGGCCGGATCGCAGCCAGGAGATGAGGGCAGGGGAGGGGGCGGTTCGGTAGGCTTGTTCCGGGTCCCGCCTTTCCACCCTCTTACTGGACTGGTCTCCAGACTCCTGGCCTGATCTGTCAGGGTTGATTTCGTCCTCTCCCAGA